CCCCCCACCCCCTGCGGAATAGGAAATTCCCTCAACGCCCCTCCCCCCTCTTTCTCTTCAATCCCCTCGCCGCTATTCCTCACCGATACTCTTGTCGCAAACACGACGCACTGACGTGGCGTTAAATTTTCCGCCGCAACCGCGTGATACTTACGGCTGCCGCGAGAGTCGCGTTGCAGAGACGTTTCGAGTGAATCGAACGAATCGTTCGGCATTCTCTGCCCTCATCGTCCGACGAAAAAACGTCGAGGGGAGGAATACAGGAAGAAAAGATGAAGAGACAATGACAAGAAGACGACAGAATAGATGAACAAGGACAGAGTCGTTGACGATGATCGTGATGATGACTGACGTCGATGAGTGCCAACGGTAGGAAGGAGAGATTGCATAATTTAATGTATAATATGTATATATGTATATAAGTATATGTATATAACGATAAGAGTGAATCATAAGTCGACTGCATGGCCGGTCGGGTCCGTCTGTTTCGAAGTCGTTGAATTTGAGCGTGCTTGTTGAAACTTGTTTTTCACCGTTTCCATGGCGACGCGCATTGAGGGGAGTAAGTTGTTATCGGGCCTCGGCAGGTTGGGAAATTAATAAAGCAGCAATACGCAACGGCTATTCGCTAATGGCGACTATTCTTTGTGATAACTGAAGATACGCGAGAGGAAAATACCAGTGGTTGTGTGTGTGATGTCTGCTGAAAGTTATTTGTCGAAATTAATATACGTATTTTTGGACATAAACTTTTTGCGCCAAAATATCATTTCTTACGATACGATGTGATTCTATTGTCGACACGTTATTCTATACGAGGATAGGTATTTTCGGAGAGTATTAATATATTTTAAAAATGTTCATTGATATGCTCGATTGACTCCAAGCCATTGACAGGTGCGCGTGACAGAAGTTGACAATGAAAGTTGAATCATTAAAAATCGTATATTGCGTAACGATTAAAAACTGAGTTTCTAATTACAAAACAGATGCGTGTAAGTACGCTCACTACACTTGTACGAGCTGTTTGATTTCATTCGAATGAAAAGTATCCTCGATGACGTAGGAATTCGATATTTATACGTCATTACCCATTACGCAATCGCGATATCGCGTCAAGCGCGTGTGATTAGGAAGTAAAAAAAATCCGAATAAAAATTACCGAAAACTGAAAAATTCTTAATAAACATAAAAATTTCAATTTCATCCCTAACAGCGACCCTCAGCGTCCCTCCGACCCGTGAAGGAGGCTTCTTGTCAAAGATCGAGATCAGCTGACCGAGCAGACGTCGGCGTCAGCTGATTTTGACAGCCGCAGCGACCTTGTGCGCGTCCTTGCGGCACGTGCCACCGACCAATCCGGTCATCCGGCACGCAGCCATCTCGACCAATGAGAATGCAGTGAGACGCACAGTGCGTTAACAACCGAAATTACCGGAGCAGCAACAAGCCAAACACACGCGACCAGCACACCACCACTGGTACAAAACAAAATGATTTTTTTCTCGTCCTTATCCGTGACCTCTCCAATGTCGAGAGCCACTCCAAGTACCTCGTTGACCTCCCTTTCGAGGGCACCTAGTTCGGCTACGTGTACGTTGTAAAACAGCTGATTCAAGGCGCATGGAAAATATACGTACTGCCTATAGGTCTACACTGACTCCACATACCTATATGTATATATACATATACATGCCAACAAAAGATATTACGAAAAAAATACCAAAAATTCATTCCCAATAAGAGTTTTCAAAATTAATCACAGTCAATGATCCATCTAAGGATCCTGCTACGTAAGCGAGCTTGTTATCAAGCAGATATCACTGTACAGTGATATAACTGATAACGACACCAAATGGATCCTCGTATTGGATAACCCTTGATATATCAGTGACGTACAGAGACACAAACATAGTATACCTGGCATATGTAATATTTTGACGTTTCGAGCGCAGGGATCAAGCTGGACTACATGCACATAGATTCTATGTGTTCCAGAGTTTACACTGGGCTAGATGAGTAGGCAGCGTGTTGGCTATATTCACCCCCAAGTGACTCGCGCAACCCCGATCAATAATTCATTTCCCAGCTGTCACGCTTCCCCAGCAATGCTACTACCTACCACCACCGACGCCATTATCACCCCCCTATTGCCACCTCCACTATCAGTATCACTAGGACCAGCACTACCCCACCGTCATCATCGGACACACTGACAGCGTCATGAACGCACACAGGCGCTTACTCAATTCCCACTTGTCCTTCTTCCTCGTCCTGTCACGGTCACCTTCAACCTTCAACCTTTTCAATCTGCCCTACCCAATCCAACACGCAGTGACGGCACGAGTGACCGATAAGGATGGCAAAAGGAATGCCGCATCCCTCAGGGTTACGTTCCAGCCTTAATTACTAAGCTACGGATTATTTTCGTTATTTAAAATTGTTTTTTTTTTTAATAACGTGGGACTCGACTCCTCGTAAGATTTGGCTTTCTCTCGCTGCGTTCCTTTGAAAAATAAAGGGAAACGGTTAATCGTGCCTTATGGTATCGGAGAATGATTTTCTTGTTTCTCTATGTTCGTCAATCTTGACTATGGTTATGTTCGTCATCTCTTGCTCTGGTTAGTCTCGTGAAAATCCAAGTGCGTCGCCAACGCCCCCAGAAAACTGAGATACCACCAGCTGTGTTCACGCGCTTCTTTACCTACCGAGTGAACGCAGAGTGGCTCCCTGTTCTCCGAGTGCACTTTTGGTTTCCCACCAACAGCTTTTCTTATCGACAGAGAGTAAAGATCCCTTCCCTCGGCTGCTGGACATTTTTTTCTGACAAATTTTCATTCGCTTGACCAAACGAGTCCACGCGTGTTATCTGCAAGAGCCAGGCAAGGCTCATCTTGCTCGATCGATTCGGCTTCAGGACGGATTCAGCTTCCAGCTGGTATGGATAGACAAGTTTTTATAATTTTTACTTCGTCGACCTTCATCAATGTCATCTTGAGTCTTCATCCTGGACCTTTTTACTCATCTCACGTCTCAAATCCTCTTGCACTGGATACGTCATTACGTACGGTTTGGAAGGTTACTTTGTATTCCTACAGTGACTCGGAGTCTGTCGTACCGGATGGGACGGTGGGCTATCAAGGTCGACCTACTCGGCAGTACGTATCCAGACGAATCTTCCGAAGTGACTTTGTGGACCAGTACAAGGACGAAGTTTTCAGTGAGGACTTTCACTGAGATATCAAAAGTATAAACGAGGTTTTTTAAGGCCTATGTATCAAGGCTTTAAACGTATTGTGACTGAAGTCACTTCTTCGAGCCTCCGTCGACGGAGACGATTTCTACGTTTTGGGAAATAACGACTTGTGTCCCTTCCTCGTCCGGCCAGGAAGAGGAAAGAGGGTTCTTGTCACTCCGAGTAGACCCTGACGTGGCAGGAGACAGTCCATTTTCAACTGTGACGTAACAATAGACTTCACAGGGTTCGTCCTCACGAAAATTCATACACGAAATAAAGGCAAATTCAATTTTCAGGATTTCAGCATCCCTCGTGAAATTCACGGCTTCTCGTAGAAACAAGTCAAAGTATGAACGTCGGCCGAGATGTTAAATTACGAAATTCTTATCAATAATCGAAATCGACGGTAACTCGCTCTACAGACTTATTCTACTGAAACGTGATCATGAAATAAATTGAATTTCTATCTACCCAATGTAGCGGCTCTTTATGCTTGTTTTATATTAATGCTTCGTGATAGAAGTGCTGCCATCTCTCAATACAAAGGCAAACAACGTAGCACGGCCAATGCGTGAACCTTATCTGCGAAAGGGGTTGAGCGACTCAATAAAAATTGATCGTAAATAATATAAAAAAGGATTCAAAACGCAATTACCCACATTTATTATCTCATTGACAATCCCGACAGCCCTTCTCACTGTAATCTGAAGCCTTGACAGCCTTCGATAACGTTGGTTCGATAGACTATCGATACTTCCAATTGTATCATGTGAAAAATATACGGGCTCAGAAAATATAAAAAATCCGCCAAGTACCCAACAAACAGTACAGCTTTTATTAGAGGGGGGAAAGAAAAACTTGTTTTCCAAATCAATAAGTTTATCGCAAGAAGTACCAAGTCCTTCTTTTAATTATGCAAAGGCTTAAGGCCAGACCAAGGAGAGGGACGTGAAACTTCACGATGGGGTCTGCGCACAGCAATTTCCCAACGAGATCGATACTTTCTGTGTTCGTGAATTTCCCAAAGATCATGTATCCAAAAATTTACCCATCCCCCCTACCTCGATCATTTTTTTTTTTGCGAAACCAACGATCTAGCATATCTGGTATTTTCCTTCTTTTTTTTCATTTCTACAATTTTTAGTAGCCTCGACCGCCTCTGGTCCAACCACTCTTCCTTCTTGCGCCTTCGCTTCTCATATTTCCTTCGTTCTTTTTTGTTCCACCTCAATTCACGGCTCCATCACGTTTCTTTCTCTTCGTTGTTCTATACGTCTTTCTACTTTTTCTTCTAGCGGTTGGACCTTACCAGCGTAATACACGAGAAAGAGAGAGAGAGAGAGAGAGAGAGAGAGAGAAGACGAGAATGAAATCGCCTCCATTTCGCTCGAGCATAAATAAATCTTTCCCGAGGTTCCGGCAAGTTTTATTGCCTCCAATTGGCAGAAAAGACATTTTTACCCGACCCGAGTAAATTCGAGAATTCCGCGAATGCGAACCCGGCCGAGCAGCATTTTCATCGTGGAATGCATCGACGGAAATCGTTAAGTTAATTGATCGAGCGTAACAAAAAAAAGAAGACGGCGCCTTAACCGTAGATAAGAGGAGCCATCGAGAGAGCAATACAACAAGCAGCGATAAGGAATGAAAACGTTACGAACAGTGCGTCGTCCCATTTACCAGAGGATAACCAAGTTAATTGCGCAAAATAACGAGAAAATTACGCCATAGGAGGAAAAAAATAATAATTTTAACCAAACCTGTGAAATTCATCGTTTGTCAATACCGGAAAAGGGTATTATCGTCAGGAACGGCTACATAAAAACATACACCCGGTGACCAAAGAAAAAATATAAAATTTCGACAAATAATACGTAATACGATTTCCTACTCAACTTTTATACCCACCCCCCCTCTTCGTTTACTCTTTACCGTACTTCCCATAATTTCGTATAATCCAAATACCATGCGATTTTCCATTATCACGTAATCTGCCAGTTATCGCACTCGTCAATACTTATCTTATCCTACAGGCCATGGACGACGATACTTTTTCCATACAGTTTACACGCTTCTCGCAGCTGGAGTATTTCCATAAAGTAAAGCAATACCGCTCCCCCCCCCC